GCCATCACACCATGCCGGGGGAGGGGGGGGGAGTGGGGAGTGGTTCTTGCAGCTCGTGTATGCTTGTCCATGCATGCATCCTGTCATGAGACTCGGACAATGAACAAACACAGGGCTCGTGAATACATTTCAGACTGACTGGGGAAGTAGGGCTGGGGGGAGGTTAAGGGATTTGATAATGGGCCGGTGGTCATGTGTTGACTGGTGCCGGTTGAAGAGGCGCCGTCCAAGGCCAACACCGCCCTCGCATGATGCTAAGTTCAGGCCAGTCCGAAAACTCGAGGACTTTGTTTAGCTTGAAATTGTGAACATGATGGCTGGTCTGACGGGGTGGGGGAGGGGAGCATGCAGGCACAAGACACCGAGTGGGGCTGTGGAAACAGTTATCGCAACATTACGAACACTTCGAGGTCACGCAGGGTCAGGCATGAAGACCCCTGAGTGGGGGTCTTCATTTAGACCCTACCTACCGAGGCCTCCACAGAAATTCTGAATTCACTTGTTCTGGCGGGGACTGCGGCGCAGATACTGCAATTGAAAAATCAACCAACCGAAGCTTTGCAACGGCAAGCAGCTTGCAGTAAATCATTAATGAGCAAAGTCGAGGAAGCAACTATCTTGACAGGACCTTTTAAGGGTGAACATATCCTTATTCCTCACATTCAACTGATTCCACCTGATATGCCATTTTAATTTAGCAAACTGCAATTCCCGATTCGATTGGCGATAGCAATCCTGATCAACAAAGCTCAAGGTCTATCTTTAGAATTTTGCGGTCTGGATCTGCAAACAGGTTGTTTCTCTCATGGCCAATTATGTTGTGTGCTTCAGAGTCGGCAAAAGAGTCAATCTTCGTATCTGTACAGACAGTGCAACGATAGATCAATTTTGCATACCCACAAGAATTACGACACTAAACATAGTTGAAGCACGCCCTCATCCTCTTTTTCATTTCATCAAACTGAGCCACAGCAACGCGTGGCCGGGTCCAGCTAGTATCTTCATAATTGTGCTGATCTTTAGCCGGCTGTTTCCAAATATAGAGCCAGTTCTCAGGGTCCTCCTTGTTCGACACCGGACACATCGAAATACAAAACCGTCTGAGTGGCACCGTCGGACTTGCTGTTTCAGTTTGTTCTTACATTTGCACATCGATGCCATCGGCAAAAGTCGTTTTCTCTGGCAATATTCCACTAACTTCTCAGAATTTATTTCTTCCATTATTTGTCCACTTTGGCTTCGGTACCACGGTAAGTGGGCTAACTCATGAAATGTCAACCGAAATTCCAAAACGCGTTTTCGTTTCGAAAAGACTAAGTAAATAGGGTTGTAAAACTAATTACAGTACAGCATAATTCTATAATAATTCAGTTACCTCAGGATGCCGGCTTTCAAACGAAATTCTTTCCGGCCGCATGCCACAACTATACTCTGCAAAAAATGATTACTTATGTAGCATGCATTTTTCTCATTGAGTTTCGATGCTCTTAAAAAGTCAATTATATTTCATGGAAAACATGCATAAAATTATTCATTCTTCTACTCAATCCACTACTAAATTTTACGAAGCCCATATGATCTTCTCTGAATACCCTATAGAAATGTACGGTTTTCAGTACGGGTTAAATATACGGCTTGTAGTTGGGAAACCCTGAATGCAAGAGTAACAGCAGGTCGGCTTTGAAATTTTTCGGGAATTGGAAAAGTTTTTAAAAACCGAATTATATCCTTCTTTAGAGTATTTAATTAGAATAAGACGTCATTTTCTACCGAATGAGTAAAAGAATGAATATCTTTTATAAATGCTTTCCATGAAATATAATTGAATTTTTAAGAGCATCGAATATCTATGAGAAAAATGCAGGCTACTTAAGTAGTCATTTTTTGCAGAGTATGTTTTTGCACGCAGCCGAAAAGAAGTTTGTTCAAAAGCCGGCATCCTGAGCTAACTGAATTATTATATAATTATGCTGTACAATGATTGGTTTTATAACCCTACTTAATTAATCTTTTCGCAACGAAAACGCATTTCGGAACTGCGGTTGACATTTGATGAGTTAGTCCATCTACTTTACGTTTGACTTCGAGCAACCCTTTTGGCTTTCGCAAACGATGACCTGTAATATTCAGAAAAAGATGACGTATTGCGAAAACACGACTGCCAGGTAACGCCTTCGGATCTCCAATTACTCGGAATTAACTACCAAAATATTACTACGTCAACTGCATTTAAAAACCTAGTATCACACAGAAGAGATGACGGAGTCCGCTAATTCCTTACGTTTGTGGACATCCTTTCTAAGAACCGAGTTGGTCTGATATCGTTGGCATAGCGCACACGGAAATTGCAATACCGTCCATAAAATTTGAGTGCGATGGCCTCCCTAACCTATCGCCGTTCATTCTCATTGGTTGGATTTGCCTTGGTAACCGGTACCGATGTAAACTATTGATTAGCAGTAAAATTAGTTTGCCCTTTAAATGTTTCTTATTGTTTAAATTTTAAATTTACGATTAGTTTTCTTTGCTATATGTAGGAGTATTGCAAGTTTTGAGTCACACTTTGAGACACTTAATTCACCTTCCTTATTTTCGGCACTTAACATGCCATCCAGATGTCCCACCCGTAACACCCCCACTATCACCATTTCCGTAAGACAGGCGGCTATGGCTAGTTGGTGATACTTGGGAGCCTTCCCTAGAGCCTTATTGATGATGGTTTAGGTGAATCTCTCAGCAACCATTCCATGTTTCATAGACATGTGTCCAACCTGTGAAAGCGCAGACCACCCTTCCGAACAATCCGGAGCAGTACTTCTATAACTTTTATTCAGTAAGTCCTGACAAAACTTTCGTAGAAGTACTATCTCTCTGTCCTAAGTTCTGCATTGAACGGCTGATACAGACGCAATTTGATCTCGAAATCCAATTTGAGAGTCTATTTAGCCAGACTACAGATCTAAAACCTTCCGAGCCTATAGAAGTTGATGGCAAGGACGCAGTATACGACCCCACTCAGGGAACAAAAACCAGGTCTGTGTGTATTACGAGTTTAATGGGTGGGGCAAAACGACAGAAATAAGAGCGGCGTAGTAGGTAAACATTCGGATAAATATTGAGGTGAGGTAGTGCATCCTCGCGCTAAAGTTCCCTATGGCTTCTTGAAAAAGGTCTCACGTACTAGAAATCCGATCTCTGAAGAATGAGGAGAGTATCAAAATATCTGGCAGTGCAGGCTAGAGTTGAAGACTTTTTGTCATTATTCCAGTTTATTTTTATAAAAGAAGTTGATTACATTCTATTTAGTTACGAGAGGCTGAAGCATCAATTATAAAAAGGCGAGGACGCAAGATACTTGAGTGGAGTCGCATTCTTTAAACGACCCTGGTAAACTGCTGTCAACAGTATTTGAGGAAGGCTCCGATAATAAAAGGTCCCCTGACAAGGACCCATCCATATAGTCTCAGAGAGCTTTGCTAACCAGACCGGACAAGCATTCAGGAATAGTACTATTGTACAGGAAAGATTACATGGAGACATGGAAGCAATCCTACTGAACTGTACAAAGTTATCAAAATCCGAGAAAAGCAGGAATTGGACCAAGGCCGTCGAGAGTAATTTTACTAAAGTGCTCAAAGACCTCCACAAAGAACAACTTCTGTCCGGCAAGGAGTTTGGGGGAATGAGATATGTGGGTAAGAAGATACCCAGCATGTACGGTCTTCCAAAACTCCATAAACAAGGGTTATCACTGCGTCTAGGCTTCGATATGAGGAATTCGCCTATCACGTCATAGCAAAATGGCTGGTAGAAAGGTTGAGGTCGCTTCAAGGTTGTTTATAACCCCGGAGTTTGAAAGACACCTTTGAGTTTGCCGAGGCCATCGAGAATATTAATGTTGGCATACGGAATATGCTGTCGTTAGATGTATCATCACAGCTTACAAAACGTACCTGAAATGGAAACAATAAATCACCTATCCGAATTTATTAGGGAATCAAACAACCTTATAGGCATGACAGTGGAGACCCTAAGAGAACTACTTACGCTAAGAACACAAAATGTCCACTTTTCTGCAACGGCCAGATTTACAGGCAAATAGACGGTGTGGTGGTGGGCTCACTGCTTGAACCGTTTCTTGCACACGTCTTTATCGGTAGGCTCGAGCAAACGGGTCTCATGCATGCTATTAATGATCCTGATGTCTACGGTCGATATGTGGACGGCATAGCTGACGGTTACAGTCCTTGAGATCCAGAAGGGTGTCACGCAGCCCTACATCTAGTCTGGGCCATCACCCTTTAAAGGCTGGGCAACCAATCAGTTATCGACTGAGAGGTAATACCCATGTACACACATACACTCCACATGCGTGAGAATGCTAGAGGTCACATTGAGAAGGAGCCGTTGCAGCCTGGCTCTCAGTCTACCAGTCCGCCACTTCACACAAACACACGACTGGGCAGACTGTGTGAACTGAGTTGAGGCGTCAGCAAGCAGTCTTCTAAGCCACGACGTTTGGCGCACCGCGATATTCTCATACTCAGATCCCACACTCAGAAGAGGAGCCGCATGGAGAAGGAGCCGAGAATGGCACTTACCACTTAAGTGAGGGACGACAATTGAACGCTTTCATTGTGTGGTGCTGGGTGATATTGGTGTGTGGCGCGGGTATTGGTGGGGAAGGTTGTGATACTGTGGCGTAACCGGCCGTTGTCCACCGTAGGCCTTCGAGGATGCGTATACTGCCTAGCAGACCCATGCGGTGGCTGAATGTGCAAGGGCAGTGTGAGCGGTGGAAGCGAATTTGCTCGATTTATGTAGGTTGGTGCTCCAGGCACGGGTTCGCCTGTCTCCATGCGATGAATTCAGGCCGATTTGAGTGGTGAATGTACGGGGATGGTGTGGGCAGGATAGATCGGGGGCATTAGAATCGGTTTCAATGGTGATGGTGGTGGTAGTGTGGCTGCTGATGGTGAGCGCGCTGGACGATGAGGTGTCTATGAGCTAGGAATGTTGGGTGTACCAGATGTGCTAGGTATGTCGATATCGAGGTTAATTCCGCACTCGCTGATACGCATATGACCTAGGAGGCCCATGAGGTGAGTGAGTGTGCTGCGACAGTTAGGGCAGTGGAGGTGGATACGGCGAGTGTAGGTTGGTGCTCCAGACACTGGTTCATCAGTCTCTGTACGATGGATTCGGAAGTGACCGACCAGGTCAATGCGTGAGGTGGACGGGAGCCCGCAATGGGGATAGGTATGGACCAAGCACACATCGCTGGGTGGGGGGTGGGTGGTGATGATGAATCTGTGAGTGGTCGTCGGGACTTCAGGAGCGTTTTGATCCTTGACGATGGCGGTAGGGGTTGTTGTGTTCGACGTCGTTGCGGTAATTGGGGAAAAGCTAGTGGAAGTGGTAGCGGCCGACGAGAGTACGGCACGGGGATTCGGAGCAGCATTGGTGAGGCTGGACGCCGGCGTGGTTGAAGTGGAGGTTGAAGCAGGCGCGGTCGTTGAGGCAACAATTAAGGTCGTCGGGCGATTGATGAATTGGATCCGAAAATGACCAACGGGGCCGATCCGTGCGTGAAATATTCGCCGACAGCGCGAGCACGCTGAGTGATGACGTTGCAAACCGGAGGCGCCTGAGACTTGCGAGCAGCCCTTTTGGCTTTGGCGGCAACGATCCGGTTTGTTTCGTAGATGGCTGCGCCAGTCTTCCCATCTCTTCTCCAGGCCGGCCTGTCCTGGACGAGGTCCTTCCATGTCCCTGGATTTATATGCGATTGCTTAAGACAATTCTTCAGTATGTTCTTGTAGCGTCGTTTTAGGCTCCCCGTCGGCGAGCACCGGTGGCGACATCACCATAGAAGAGTTGATTCGGTAGACGTGCATCTTTCATCCTCAAGAGATGACTAATCTAACGTCATGGCAGTTGCCTCAGCATGGCCTGGATACAGAACTTCCGTTCTGTCTGGCCATCTCAGCATTAGTTTTCTGCGAAGGCCGCTGAGATGGAAGTAGCTGAGCCTCCTGGCATGACTAGAGTAGACGATCCAGGCCTCCGTTGTGTATAGTAGTATCGTCAACACGACGGCCTTGTAGAACTTTTCCTGTAGAACTTTTCCGCGGCGCTACATCTGAAATAGCTCAGTGAGTTGGTCCATCAGGCGGTGACAGACGTTTTTGTAGATTTTAGCTGGGATCACATCGGAGTCTGGTGCTTTCCCGCAGGAGAGTTATTGCATGGCACGTATGGTTTGTGGGAGAGAAGCCGGGAGATCCAGGTCGGTGTTGACTTCCACTTGGGAGAGGGAGTCGATGGCAGCATCGGAGATTGTTGGGGGGATGACTAAGGACTCTTCTAAAGTGCTCGGCCTAATGCATCAGGATCAGTGACTTCTCCGACAAAAACCTTGATCCATCGGGCGGTTCCTTTCGTTGGGGGGGGGGGGGGCGGTAGATCGACTTCGTAAGATGTGGTTATGCAACCGCGCCTGATGGACACAATTCTGTAAGGGGTTACGGTTTGGATTAGAGTTAGGGGTTGGGCTTAGGGATTAGAGTTAGGGATTGGAGTTATGGGTTATGGGTTAGGGGTTCGGGGAACTATATCTCTACCACTCAAAATATATCTTCGCATTCCCAATAGATTTACTTTAGCATACAATTACTTGACCTCGTCACCTGTGCGTTCCCGGGCCCCACTTGGAAAAACCCCTATTACCACCGGTCCCGTATTACAGGTGTGCGGCTACATAACCACATATGACCATCGACTTGACCGCAGCGAAGCAGTTCTTTGATTTCTTGCGGTCAGCGTATTATTGGATCTCCTCGGCCTTGCGAACCATCCACGCATCCTGTATTTCTCGCAACCGTTGCTACACAAGGCTGCGGATTTAGTCGAAGGCCGCTTTGTTCGTGTCGATGGGACGGTCGAGGTAGGCTATGTGCAGCCTGTTCTCGGCGAGCAGGTTACTGATAGCTGCGTCGCTGTCGTCGAACTAGTCCTAGTGCTGGCGACCCGCGCGACCGAGAACACTCGGGGCGGTTGAATGAAAGGCGTCCCGTAGTTGGCACCATTGAGTCTCCGCGGAAGCGTTTTCAGCTGCAGCTGTCAGTTCTTCCAGTTGTTGGGCCAGTCGATTGCTGAAATGTAAACGGTGAGCAGGCAAAGGCAGCAAAGCAATATTCAGATTATCTCCGGATCGCTTATCTTTTAGCCTCCCGCGGGATTGCATACAGAGCTTCATCTTGGAGATGACAAGGCGGAGGTCTGTCCAACCATCGCCATCGCAGATAGCCTTGGTCACCAGTACGTCCTGCCGACCTCGCCGCCGAACGAGAACATAGTCCAACAGGTGTCAGCACCGCAATCGAGGGAGAATCCAGGCGGCCTTTTTCCGCATTAGCAGGCAGAAGAGGGTGTTGGTCAGCAGGAGGCGGTGTTCAGAGCAGGTTCGCAGGAGGAGGAGGAGGTCATTGTCATTGCAGCCGGTGATTCAGTGAGGGCCCAGCACTCATTTCCAGGCAACACTGTCTGTGTGGACGCAGACGTTGAAGTCACTGAGGACAGTTAACTTATCCGCCTTCGGTACATACGCCAGGAGAGTGTGCAGGTTTTCCTGGAAGTTTGTCTCCATCTTTTCAGAGCCGGTCATTGTTGGGGCGTAAGCGCTGATGATGGTGGCGAAGTTGGATCCCCGAAAAGGCAAGCGCAGACTCATCAGTTGGTCATTGATGCCCTGCGGCAGACAGCGCAGTCGTCCCACGATGTCGTCCTAGATGGCAAAGGCGACACTTGCGTCTCGTCGCTCTTCCTTTGGGCGACCGCTCCAGTAGAGGGCGTAGCCGGCACCCACCTCCTCCAGTTGGCCTTGTTAAGAGGGCTGGGTCTCGCTAAATGCAGCGATGTTCACCTTGTAGCGCGTCAGTTCCCGAGCGACCAGCGTCGTCCTTCGTTCCGGCCGGTGGCTCCTGGGATTATCTAAAGTGGAGCGAAAATTCCAAGCCGCCAGAGTGAGAGGACTCACTCCAGTAGCCTGTGGGATGGGACGGAGGGAAGGAGGAGGAGGAGGGGGAGGCAGAAAGAGTATTTTGTTTTGTGTTTTGATTTTGACCGCATGTGTAACAGCCTGCGAGCCACGGTCTGCGAACAAGTGTCGTGAACCAACATTGTTTAGGCACCTTTTATATCCTCCTTTCCCTCGCGGGAAGGCAGTGCTCTCCCTAAATAGGACTGCTCTGTCGCCCCAGACGGATACCGCTCTCCGCTATGGGTCACGGGTTTTAGTGAGAGAACAACCAATGGCCTGGGCCGCCTACGTGATTGCATGCCGCTCTGGAGGTAGGACTTTCGGCCGTGAGGGAAGGATGTAGGGCAAAGAGTAGAGAGGGCGAAGAGTGGAGAAAAAGTGCACAGGAGTAGATAAAGGGAGGTTTTCAGCCACGGGGTAAATAACTTGCCGAATACTGAAATGAGGTATGAGCAAGCAAAGACAACCAAACGGTATCCAGCCTATCTGGGGTTCTCTTGACTTGCGGCCTCCTGCGGAGTTGTAGACGGAGCCGTATCTCGGAGATGCCGAAGCGGCGATCTACCCGCCCGGAAATAGCGGGGGCAGAGCCGATTTACCTTGCACATACGGACACCCTCACCTGGTTTAGCCCGCCGGTCGAGGCGGCTACCGGGGTGTGGCCGCTAGACAGAGCTTATCTTCGGGGAGCCACATGTGAGAGTTTGGTGCCAGTTATTAAACTTTGGGCTTAGTTAATACCTGAAAGTATGTGAGCAGCCTACTACGACCATCACTTGGACCCACAACTGGACACCCCTGCCCTCTGCATTAGCAATAATCCATGAGAGAGCCGGCGGAGGAGAATGAACTTACGGCAGACGCAAGTGACATGCAGACATAGGGGTCATGGGGCGGTGGAGGAGGGGCGGAGGTTAACGCATATTTAAACGTAGATTTCTACGTAGAGAAGGAGGCACAGCGATTTATGTGCCAAATGAAATTCCGTGCTGTCAGCGAGAAATATCCGATGGGGCGCCGCGAAATTTTGAAATAATTTCATGCAAGATACTTATCAAACAATTACTGACACTGAACGTTTGTGTTGTCTATCGGCCTCCCAGCTCGAATGAAATCGCTGAAATGGAATTGCTTAGTGCACTGCAGTTGTTATGTAAGCAGGAGAACTTACTAATTCTGGGTGACTTCAACGCTCCAGGAATAGACTGGAACATTCCCCTAACAAACGCCCCGTCCACGTCATTTGACCACAAGCTACTACAATTCTCCCTGAATGAATATCTCATTCAACACATAAAATTAGGAACAAGAACGGAAGAAGGACAACGATCTAACTGTTTAGATCTCGTTTTCAGTAAAGGAGAAGGAGCAATAAGGGAAGTGAATCCACAACCTCCACTCGGTTTTAGCGATCATATTGCTTTTACCTGCGTGTGCTCTCTCCTATCGAACCAACAACCAAAAATCAAGAGACGCAGAAATATTTGGAAGGGAGACTTTAACGCAATGAGACGTACTCTTTGGAAAGAAACCTGGTTAGTCAGCATGGAAGATTCAGAAGAATTCTGGCAGTACTTTCGTGGGATTTTACAGCGTCTAATTGACTCCCATTGTCCAATAAAAATAACAAGATCATGTGAGCGACCGCCGTGGGTCAATCCGACGACAAAAAAGACCCTGAAGAAGAAACAGAGACTGTGGCAAAAGTATTTGCAACTTCGAGATCCAAGGTCATTCGCCGAATATAAGGATCAGCGCAATAATTGCCGCAAACAAATACGGGTTGCTAGAACTTCTTTCGAGCGCCGACTCATAGCAGAATCCATTACATGTCCCAAGAAGTTTTACGGGAACATCCTCAGTAGGAGGAAACATTGGGACGAAATTGCTTGTCTAAAGGATAGCCTCGGAAACTTACTAGTTGAAGGGCCAAAAAAGTGCGATTACTGTCTCAGTTTTTTCAATCGGCTTTTACGGAGGAGTCCTCAGAAGACAATCAGCAGTTTGAAATGGAACGAGTCAGCCGGGAGCTTCAAATGCGCCCAGATACTGCCGTCATTTAAACCTTTGCCTTTTCTGTCGAAGAAGTAAGACGCGTCGTCAGTCAAATAAAACCTGATAAGTCTCCTGAACCCGACGAAATTCCGGGGCTGATACTTAAGGAGCTATCAACGGAGCTGTCAGAGCCTCTTTCGACTCTCTTTGAGCTGTCAATGAGAACAGAACGGCTACCGTCACAGTGGAAGACAGCTAACCTCGTTCCATCACATAAGGGAGGTAGCAGGATGACAGCAAGCAGCTTCAGGCCTATTAGCTTGACTCACCTCCCATGCAAAACGATGGAAGCTCTAGTAAACAGCGCTATACAGCAATTTTGTGAAGAAAATAACATCCTGCAGGATTTTCAACATGACTCCTGGAGAGGACGTTCCTGCCTCTCAAATCTGCTAGCTTGTCTGAAGATCTGGACCAGGGCTCTAGAAGAGGGTTTTGAGATCGATGTCGTGTATATCGATTTCCGCAAAGCTTTCGATACTGTTCCGCACCAACGTCTTCTTCACAAATTAAGCGCCATCGGCATCCGGGGAGATCTTCTGAACTGGATAAGGGCGTTTCTGGTTGGTCGCAAACAACGTGTCTGTATCGGAGATGATATGTCAAAATGGGTGAATGTGACCAGTGATAGGCCTCAAGGCTCAGTTCTGGGACCATTGCTCTTCATCCTCCATGTTAATGACAGCCTTCAGGAACTCGACTGCGGCAAAATAATGTTTGCCGACGACGTTAAGCTCTGGCAAGTCATTAAGGGTCCGAATGATCCGAGATTCAAGATAATCTGCATCGACTGCAAGCGTGGTCGGAGAAATGGCTTCTAGATTTCAATGTGGAGAAGTGTGCCGTCCTTCCTCTGCGCCCAACCAACTCTCATTCAAATGAGAGCCTGAGGACGTATCACCTGGAAGATATTAGACTCCCCGCAGAATCTTCACAGAAGGATCTCGGGGGATGGATACAGAACAACCTGAAACCAACACTTCAGTGCCACAAGGCTGCAAGAAACGCCATGGGGGTGCTCCATGCAATCAAAAGGGCGTTCGTAACCTTCGACCAAGACCTTTTTTGGAAAGTTTACGGCACCTTTGTTCGGCCCCACTTAGAATATGGCCTACAAGCATGGCGGCCATGGCTAGTAAGGGACCAAGCATGCCTCGAACGGGTACAACGTCGTACAACAAAGCTAGTAAACGGTCTAAAAAGCCAATCCTACACAGACAGACTTAATTGCCTTAATTGATTCCCTCTGTGTTACAGGCAGCAAAGAGGTGATCTTATCCTCGTCTACAAGATAATACGTGGCCTTGAGCACCTACTTAGCTTTGAGGACATGTTTCAGTGGTACCTTTCACCCAATCTTCGTGGTCACCCGATGAAGTTACGGACAACAATGTCCAGGCTGAATCTTCGTTCTGAATTTTTCACGCAAAGAGTAGTGGAGAAATGGAACGATCTCCCTCAGTCAGTGGTGGAGGCTACGTCTCTGCAACTCTTCAAGAAACGCTCAGATGATTATTTGTCTGCCCTGTTTTCCCCCGACAGTCTGAAACTGAACTAAATACCCCGCGATCCCGCAAATATGTTCTCTGAAACAATGCTACTCAAATGAATCCAGTACTGTTTTAATAGCGAATATTTTCATTGTTCGTGTACAGTTATTTCTAACGAGCTGACATGTAATCAACAGGGTTTTCAAAGGCTTTGCCTATTATCCTTACCAAATAAACTGAAAATAAACTGAGATATTTATCCGTGAGACTGGTCTGGCGGCCTCTTAGCAACACCTGCCATGACCTGGCCGACTCTAACCACGACCTCTGTCACCGCGAGGGGTCTGCACGTCTTGTTTCTGCGGGAAACCACCATGGATGGTCACTCATAGAGCGAGTCAAGTGGCTTGTGCAAACGGCCACGCCGAACGAAAATTTGAACGCAGTTGAAATGAAGGAGATGCGGTCGCTCGAACCCACCATCAGAGATGGCTACAGGCAAGGAGGATGGACGCACAAGGAGCTCAGTATTTATAGGATTCAGTCGCCATGCGACCACATACCCACCTACGGCTTTCTAGAACTGACCTTTTCGCTTCTACCGGTAACGTGGGTGCAGTTGGCTAAGTCTTTTTCTACATAAGACGGAATTGGTAGAATTCGCAGTGGGACCGGTGACAGCGTGTGCATACATTACAGAAGGCAGTGTACGAAGTTGCAAATATCCTCGTCGATGCCGTGAGAAGTCGGGCTGGTCATTTCACCTGAAATTCAGATGGTAACGCCGAACACCTGTTCGACCGCGCTGCCATTCATGTTGGACTTTAACGTCCCCGAATTCCACCAGCACCAGTGGAAGGTGGTGCTTTCATTTTCACGGGTCCTTTACGTCGCACAGGGTAGTCTTGATTTAATGGTGAAAGCGCCGACCATGCCGGTGGCGCCTGTGTGGCAGGCTGTTTTCCGTATCAGTGAGCAACTCAGGAAGGTGAAAACGAATTAGGAGAATAAAGATCCGAACTGGGTGCTTCGGTCAGTCATAAACAAAGATGAAGCACCGAAATTGGCTACCCAACTACTGGAGAGATACTTGACGAGATTATCGGTCTCGCTACTCAACAACTGACTGGCGTCAGCCCAGTGGGTGTGACGATTGACGCAGCTATGGAGGTGTGTAGCGCAAGATAGAAACAATGAACGTGTGATATTCTGAGGAACGTGACTGAACTGTGCACAGTAAGTGGGTAAGATACGTGACAAAGACTTGTTATGACTCGGGCATCCTCCCCCTAGTAGCTCAGATACGCCTGTATCCAAGCTTTTACGTCTTAATTCATGACATACCAAACAAAACTTTTCCGAGGGACTTCTGCGTTGACTCGGACGGGAGAGTCCACAAACAGTTCAAAACACAACTTGACGCATCGAGATGGGTAGGAAAGGGTGATGATAGGAGATTGTGGTGTCGGCGGCGACCGTGACGGCAGCGGTAACCAGGTGTTTAAGGGCGTTCATTTGGGAAGTTACACCGTGTAAGGGTAGCAGCTCCCTCCATGTGTCGGCTGGTATACGTGGTGACTGTTCCTCTCGGCCCTTAATAAGCACTCAACCCTCACCTTTTGCTCGCCGGAGCTAGGCTTTTCTCAAAATCTACACCCCTGTAACCGCCATGACCTGCGGGCTAGATCAGATGAGGGTATCCGGTGTTGTTTGTGCCCCCAGACCCGGCAGTTCCGCTTCCCCTCCCCTTCCTCCACATCTCGTCGACTTTTAAATTTCTACGGGACAGCGACATGCAATACCGTGAGCGGTCCAGACTAACTCAAATCGCCCATCTATTAAACAAGGCCGTGACCCATCGTGGATATCGATGACCCTATTTCGGACGGTAATAATTACCCCCTCTCGAGGGAGGAATTAGAAGGGGTGGTCTATGCAAAAGCTGGCCGGCAAATACACAGCTCAAATTCGAAGCAATCAAACAAAAATTCCATCCTTGTCCTCATCCTCTCCTTCCCATTCCACAGGTTGCTGGAACGACTGCTCATTCTAGCAGCATGGAATATTCGCTCTGTGTTAGACAAGCTGCGGAGCAATCAATTGGAAAGAAGGACGGCGCTCGTTGCGCGAGAACTGGTGCTCATGGCGGGGCCCAATTTTCCAAACAGGGTCAAATTGAGGCAGTGGGTATCGGATATACCTTCTTTTGGAGCGGCCGTCAAGGGCAGAACATCTGGTTGCCGGCTTCGCCTTCGCCATTCGAGACGAAATCATAGAACAACTGGCCTGTCTGCCATAAAGCACCAACAACCGTCTCACCACCTTACGCATGACCCTTCGGGAAAACAAATTTGCCACCATCGTCCGCGTCTATGCCTCTCCCCAATGGTTATCCCCGACGAAATGAAGGCCAAGTTCTGCGAAGACCTGCGCGCCCTCCTGACGACTGTGTCGAAGACAGTCGAGTCGATTGTCGTTGATGATTTAAATACCGGCGCTTTAAGAGACCATGCTTCTTGAGGAATACTGTGACACCATACGATCGGAGCCTGCAAGGAGAACTGCCTCCCCCTTCTTTGAACCAGCGCAAAACACCGCCTCCTCCTGACCAGCACTCTCCGCTTTCCAGCGCGGGAAAAGATAGCGTGGATGCACTCCCCTCCACGGCGCTGGCAGCTGTTGAACTACGCTTCCGTCTGGAGGTGAGACCGCCACGACCTACTGGTGACAGGGGATTCGCGAAATTGACGGCTGGGCGGATCACCGCGTCCTCATTCCCAAGACGGGGCTGTGACTCCAACCCTGCAGGAGATCACAATGTGAACGACCACCAGGAAGTTGAATGCTGCGCTGTTGAATGTGTTTCCCGACCGTTTAATTTTCTATAATCAACTGACCCACTATTTGGATGAAAGTAGACTCCGTACGACAACGCCACTGCGGAGGCACGATGGTGCCCACCACGGAATGTCATCCCACGCACTGTTCTCGACGTCCTTCTCTTGCACATGACATTAACACCAGGCTTATTTAAACGACAGGGGAGAAGCCCGCAATAAGCTATCTGGGAATAATAGTTTGTACCCAGTTATGTCAACCATGGAACTGACGAAAAAAAGCGGCCTCCTTCACATGTCGTCATTTGGAGTATGACAGAGAAAATATACGAATATGCGAACCGCAATGAAATGAGGGATTTCTACGTCAGTAAAGACGGTTTGCGGTCACAACAATAAACGAACCGGTCCACAAAACATAATTTCTCATGGCGAAATCGCAAAATCAGAATTGTTGGGAGAAGCACTTTCAACGCGTCCTTAATCAACCACCCACAATATCCGACGCTGCCATCAGCAGGCCCCCTCATGTAAAGCCCAACGCTAACCTCGACCGCCCGCCTTTGCTGCAAGCGACTATCACGGCCCTACACCAGGAGCCGACGTAGTTTCGACTGAAGTCCACAGGTAGGATCCCTTGGGTGACGGACAAACTTACCTCACTTATTCGGGGAATTTGGTGACTGGGTCAATTCTCTCGGGAATTCGGAGACGCGACATCCGTCTATTTCCGAAAGCAGAAAGGGAACCTACAGCTCTATGATAATCAGAGAGGCATTTTGTTCAACATTACAGGGAAAATCTTCGCCCGCGTCCTCCCCAAATGCCCGAACAGGCACCTGGAGCAAGGACTTCTCCCTGAGAGTTAAGGCGGATTTGGACGACACCACGGAACTGTCGATATGATCTTCGCTGCCCCAAAACCGTAGAAGTTCAGCAAAATGCATATGGACCCCCTAAACTGCCTTAGTAAACCCAACGACGGCTCACGCCACAGTGAGTCGCGATGAAATCCGGTGAGGCATGTAGAAATTTATATGTTCTGAAAGATTCTCATACATGGTGCGTCAGCTCCACGATGGCATGATAGCGCAGGTCACGGACAATAGGAAAGTTTCGAATGCATCCGCGGTGACTAGTGGGGCAAAACAGAGTTGTGTAATCGTGCATAATCTTTGATGCCTACCATGAAGAGCGCCCAGATATCAACATCGTTCATAAGGTAGGCGACCGACTTCTTAACACCCGACGCAAGCATGCCTTAACACGGCTGTCCACGACTACTGTTCGCGACCCGTTCTTTGCACACTTTACGTTCAGCATCCCGACCGGAGTGAATAAGCATTGGAGCGTGGACCGCTTCGCATCTGGCTGCGCATATTCCGGACTGGACATCAACATAGATAAATTTGTGGTCATCTACCAGTTGATGCCCAATACTGAATGCATCGACCCTCCCATCAGTATCAACGGCGCTGAAATCAAAACAGTGAACAGATTCGTCCATCTAAGCGGCACACTCTCACGGGACAAAAAAATCGACAATGAAACTGCGCATCGGATCTCCAAAGCCAGCTGGGCTTTCGGCCGGCTGCAGGACTCAGTGTTAAGTCGCCATAATGGCTATCACAACACATAACGCAAAATTTACAGAACTGTCATCTGGACAGAGCTGTTGTACGAAGAGGAGATCTGGACCATCTAAAAGGATCAGACGAGGAAACTCGATCACTTCCGCCTTGGCTGTCCCTAAAGAATACTGAATCTGAGGTGGCATGACATGATCTCAGACGCAGAAGTTATCGAAAAAACCGGAATTCTCAGCATTCAAGGCATGCTGAGTCAGATCCAACTGCGCCGGATCGCCGCCCCATGAGGATGGATAAGAAGCACTTACAAAACTACTCTTATAGCATGACGTTGTTATGGATGTTGGCTGACAAGATGAACAAAAACGACGCTACCAGGACACCCCGAAGACCACCCATGAGCATCCGCAAATCAACCCGGAGACATTGGAGGAACTTGTTCAGGATTGACCGATCTGGCAAATAACAGTGAAGACTGAAGCAGAAATCTATGGAATTAGTCGGATCGCCCTAGCCAAAACTCAAAAAACCGGCTCGAAAGTTCCAAGTGCCTCCGACCCACAACGCCAAAACCAAGCCCCTTCACCATGTTCATGCTGTCGACGAATATTACGCGCGCAGATCGGTCTCGTCAAACGTATTCGAACTCATTGCAACAAAACGGCAACTCTAACTACCGGCCGCACGAACGCTTACATTGCCCTCCTTTGAAGCAGTCGCCCACGGCATCCTCGATGACGGCCACCATAACCATTGATGAGCAAACTCCCGACGCCACAACCCCCGTCGTCCCACAAACATTTCCAGAATCATTTCCACAGTCTCCGCGACGACGACGGCGACGATGATGACTACCACGATTCCCACTCCTGCCACCAGTGAAAACACCCCGACGCATCGGCCAGGTCAGTCATTTGCGCATCCGTCGCACTGGTGAACCAGTGCCATGATCGCCATAATACACGCGTCGACTATGCGGCTCCATGAACATATGCGGCAGAGCACTGCGAACCAAACTCCACCACCAAACATCCCCCACCACCGTAGGCACAAGACACAAACCTGTCCTACACCGCCTGCAAAATAAAATAGGCACCTCTCACGTGAATGGAAAGCGCGTACTTTTGTCCAGCTATGTGTGTAAGCAGGTCATGCGTGACAAGTTCAGCCACTTGTGTTCAGTCCATACAGCAGCTGGCTGACAGACTCAGAAAATCGACTCGCGAGCAGGAGAGGGATGAGACTGCGGTCGGCTCTTGGGATTCCGTCCACACGGCACTCTTGCGCATATGCCTCCCTGTAAACAATCTGTCAAGATACGCCAAAAGTCGTGGCGTGGAAGGCTGCGAACGGACGGGATAGTCTGCACCTCACAGAACGGACGGTCAGGCTACAGTAGTTCAATGGTGGAGGGGCGCTCACCGATCGTTTTTACGGAACTCAGTCTTCCCGTTTTCCCTTATGTACTCTCTCTCTCGAGCCCAACCAGCAGCCGCACAGCGGCGCATGATATAGGCAGAGTGGTATTACCGACAAAGACAAAGGAGACTGGAATGGCCATTTCTGACTCATTAGCCGTCGTCAGTCGACCATAGCATTCTGTCTATATCATGCGCCGCTGTGCAGCTGCTGGTTGGGCTCGAGAGAGAGAGAGCCCGTAAGACGCAAGGGGACGACTGAGTTCCGTAACAACGATCGGTGAGTACCTCTCTACCATTGTATATTCTCGATGGAAAAGCGACAGGGCAAGGGGCTCGTGGCTCAGTGGTTAGCGACGTGGACTTCTAACAAACAGGTCGCAGGATCAAGCCCAAGGTGTTCCACACTTCGGGGTTAGATATGACTGGCTGACGACGGCCAACAAGCCAGAAATGGCCATCCCGATCTCCCTTGTCTTTATCGGTAATACCATTCTACAATAGTTCAATCTTCGTATGGCCCCTAGGGCACTCTTGTAGTGGCTCCACATCAGGTGCCTGTTGCTACGCTGCGCCTCTCGCTAGTGCCTGCACGTACGCACCAGCGATGGCTGCCTTGGATTTGTCCCGCTGCACTTCTGTCCGCACCACGTTTCTGATCGATTCGCTGCCTGCACCATGCGAGGCTTGTCACTAGCCCCGCGTGGGCTTGGAGCCAATCGACGCAACGTCTTCGCTGACTGGTTACACAGGCAGGCAGAGACCAGTGGCGTAAACAACTGGCCTTGACACTCTTGCGACGGCAGCTTACGGCGACACACGGGACGTCGCTCTGACGTACGCCGCTTTCGGGACGCCGGGAGTACCATCGTAGTGACTAAGATCACATTATGGCTCTAGCTTCTGCGATACCCTCACTCAGATGTGATCCTATCTGTTGTATTGTTTCGTTGAAAAACTTAATTCATTGTGCGCTGACCAGAAAGACGGGCTGTTTAATTTTTTCAGCCACTGCGTCCGACCCTGTCACCGGGCCTTCTGACCCTGTCATGCCATCGGTCCCAGGAATGTGAGGGAGGAGAGAATGCGGCAAATGCAGGCAAAGTCTGCTATCACTAAACTAATTCACCCACAGGTCGCCGTGTCCTATGTGGGTATCTTCGATCATGACGTTCGAATTGTCATTTCATCGTCGGTGCAACCGACTCGTCGTTGCTCACCAGCCATTGCGAGGAGTTAGATACTAGAGGATCGGGGAAGGCTGACGATGGAGGACCTGAACAGCGCATCATCCACCTCATTCCGTGATCCGTCGATATGACGTACATCAGGGATGGGCTGAAATGTATAGCCCAGTTGGCTGGTCTCGCGGAGGTTGCGTTTATCGGAGGAGGACTGCAGAGCGATGGAGAGAGGCCTGTGGTCCGTGAATATGGTGAAATCCCTGTCCTCATGCAAGTGCCTGAAGTGTTGCGCGGCACAGAAAACGATCAGTAACTACCGTCCAGATGTGCTATAGCATGATTCTTCGGGCGATAACTTCCAGAGAAAAAGTTACTGGTCGGGTTTGATCTGCGAGATGTCTAAGAACCACGTAGACTGCGACATCGAGGTTTTTGCTATGAAGGAAAGGGGTGCATCGGGGACAAGGTGGGTCAGGGTGGCAGTGTCAGTCAAGAGAGCCTTCACATTTTTAAAAGTAGGAAGACATCGGAGAAGAGCTTAAAGGAACCATTGAACACGAGAGGAGGTTCACAATTTAGGGGGAATCGGCGGCAGAAGTCCATCATGGTGAAAAACGCTGCGGTTGATGCATGCAAATTGTGAACGGGAAGTCACTGATTGCCGCGAACTTCGAAGGGAGGAGAGGTATACAGGTACAGTCGAAAAGGTCCCGGAGAAGTTGGGGGAGGGAGTTCCGTACATGCATTAGGGTGGCCTGAGGACAACGCCGAATTCTCTATAGCGGTCAAACACCCCTAACGGACGCTACATGCGTCCTTCGGTGGTATAGTTGGCGACCATTTATGTAAGCTTTGACGAAGGGTAGGCAAATGAGCATTCGGTCTACAAACCTCTGGAATGTTTGGGAGGCGTTGCGTAGTCCATCCGCCATGCATAAGAACTTAAAGACATCAGAAGGGACCATGACGGCCGCCTTATAAAATTCCTATCGGGAGATGGGCATTTAATTGAAACCACGAGCCAGACCGACCTACAGGTGACAGACTTGTCAGACAGGGCAAAGGACAAGACTTGGAGATGCGAAACGAGGTAGCGGTAAAGAGTAATGACAAAATCCAGTAGTACAGCATGGGCACCGGTCATCAGTGATAGCTTTGGCAACTACGTTAGAGGGATCCCTGATCGACGGACAATGACCAACCATAGAATGTGATCGAACTCTGTCCTGCTAGCAGTCAGGCATACAAGTACGAGACGGTGGGGCTGGAAAACCACCGGGCGGCCAGTGGTGTGAGTGAAATGGACCACGTCGTGTGATTGAGATAGAGGCATTAAAGTTGGAACGGGTGAATTGAGTCGTTTGGTGAGAAATAGCTCAAATGAGCTAGTCGGGTTGGAGTTCAGGACGGCAAGGTGATAGAATGACTCCGAGGAAGGAATACCTCGAATGTCAAGAGTGGTAGTCTGGTATTAGAGACGAGACAACCGGCGATAGGTCAGACGATCGAAAGCATCAAGGGGTATTGCATTAATAATGGCAAAAAAGACGTCAACTAGAGACCAGTCCCCAAGGAGAGGGAGTAGGTTGTAAAAATGGCGATCGGAAAAGCGTTGATGGCTTGAAGGATGAGGCCAGATTTTGGAAACTGACGGTCGCTGTTGCTGGAGAGAGGACACTGACCTGCGCGTCACTATCGACCAAGAAACGCTCCACAAACTCTGCCTTAAGACATTTCCAGTTCAACGGAACAATCTACGAAAAGGTGAAAGCACACCAATGGGTTCATTAATTTGGTAACTCGGCCAAAGCGATGTTGTAGTGCTGGGGGGCCGTTGGCCTTCCAGTACTACAGACTAAAATTCAGTCCTCAGTATAGGGTAATACCTTCGTCGTTGCTGAACGAAATCAGTAGCAATCATTAAAGGAGAACCTCCATGCCGTCTTCCTGGACGTGCATTTTACGATGGAGGAGGTAGAAAAAAACCAGCTGATGTCGATGTCATTGCACTCGACAGTCATCAATATGATGTCCGACGTCTTTGTCCAACTCCCCGCCCCTTCAAATCAATTAACCTTTCCTGCGAGCGAATCCGAGCGAACCCAAAATATTTATCGGCATCATGGTGTCAGTAAGCTGAATTTTAAGTCGCACGCGGCGGAAGCAGTTTACTTATAGAAGAGTTTTTTTTTCACTGCAGCCACAATGAGTAGATTACCACAACGTCAAAAAGCTGTAGCTCTCAGTAGGTTGTGGAAGGAGTCGCAGGCGACGACTCATGTTGGGGGAGGGGGGGGGGTGATCACTCCAGGTCCATCGGCCTGTTTAGCTGGTCACTACTCGCTAATACGCCGATAGTTCATATGGAATAATAATTTTTTATTAAAGACCCGTCGGGGTCACATAAAAGCAATTAAAAATATATGTACATATGAATTTTAGACAAGGTAGGCAGAATCTGTACAAAATGCAATTCATAGTTTCTGAATTTGTAGTCCGTTAAGAAAAATGCTGAGAGAACTGTGAAAGAGTCCATTTAAAAATTTAAAAATTAGTGGATTAATTTTACAGGGGAAAAAACCCTCGCTAATAATAACCGAAAAATGCGGGCAGGGCTGGCCTGCATGTGGCGGTATATAATGGATTATAATCGGACATCGTCAGGGCAAAAAAATGTCAGCCTTGATTATAATCGGACATCGTCAGGACAAAAATAAATGTCAGCCTTGAGGGGTACGTATGTGGGTCGGACAGGACTCGCCTGCATGTGGTATTGTATACGGGATTCAGAACGGACATCGCCAGGGCAGGATTGATACGACGGATGAGAATATTCGCGTCAAAGAGACCAGACGAGAGGAACCCAGACGCGATCGCCCACAGTACGCTTTGAGCCCAGCCAAGGAATGGGGAAGGGAGGTACGACCAAACTACTAGTATACGGCGAATACAGGGGGTTCCGCCGTGAGCGTCGACAGACCGCTTGAGGTCGAAATGCGGTAGATGACATCAAGAACCGCGAAAATCGTCGCTATGGAGGAGGAGTGATAGTAGTTTATTTAGAAACCAATTCAAAACAGGGTTTCGTAATGATATAATTGAGGGTTTCCACTTTCCCTACCACTAAATCCCAGGAGGACCCTTCTCGAAGT